CTCTTCCCGAAGGCTTGGCCCTGATCGCGATAAATTTTGTGGGAGGGCGCAGGCGAGTTGGAAATGGGCGCCACATTGTGTCAGCGCTAAAGATCCTTGCCAGGGTGTGGTTCACTAGGACAGAAAGCGACTTTTTCGCGTTTCGCAGCGCGAAACATTTTTCGCTGCGGGAACCTCAGGTCCACCGCTGATCATGAGTGGACCTGGAGTTCTGCAGCGAAAAATGTTTCGCGCTGCGAATCTTAGTGAACCACACCCCCCTCCTGCCACATTCGTAATCAGGACACCAAATTACCCCTTACACAAGTCTACAGCAACTTGGTGAAAGCAGCCGTGGCGTTAACTAACCCCATTTAGGCTCTGGCGCCAATTGTAGGAAGTTTTAGCAAAAAATTTATTCGACGTTTCTCACCCCCACTGGGGTTTTAATCGTGCAGTAGTACCGATTTTTCACTATAATGCTGCTTATTGGGCAGATAATGACCTATTTCAGGTTTATATCGTCATTGCCAGAAACAGACCATCATTTGGTCTCCGTGGATGTTCAGCGAGTAAATGCAGGCCTCCCTGGCTCTCCGGATTTACTCACAGTTACGACCGCAGGCACAGTCACTCTGGGTGGCACTGTACATGCCTTCACACATACGTTCATTCTCATGGTTGAAGATGGAAAATATAAGGTACATTATAATTTCCACAAAAAATTGGTGCAGGTCTTAGGTTGGCTCCAGAACAAGACAAAATCGCTGTTACATTCTCTGCTAGTACAAGTTAAACCTAAAAAATACACTTTACTTCTGAGGTGAACCGCTATCTTTCCTTTCTCTTCTCTTTTCTTCATCTTCCAACTGGATCTTAAATGCTCTAAAGGCAGAATTTACGATGAAGAATAAGTACACTGAAAATAAGGGTAGAGGGGGTCAGTGGAGCAGGGATGAAGGAAAAACCATGTGAAACGGCCCGAAACCCGAGAAATGCCCGTTGATTTGCGCATTGATGCGACTCTCATCGCTGTGCCCTCTTCAACACTACGCTCTCTGCTATCTAATCACTCGCCACGTATAGACCTGCGGCGAGTGATTAGATAGTCGGTGGGCGTTCCGCGCCAACTGCGCCAAAGGGAAGGCCATGTTAGATCGGGGGCATATCCTTCGATGCGAATTGCGTGTTGGTCCGCACCCTTAGGGGGTCCGCCTGTCTCTCAACTAGTAAATTCACATCTTCTTCGAACATCGTTCCTATCGTGGAATCTTCCTTTAAAGGCAAACTCTAAGTGTAAGGGAAGTGCAAGTTCGATTGGAGGAGCACCACTACGCTTAAGTTCGTCTCAGCAACAGTAATCCCATTTTTGGCAGAGAAACTAGTCCCGTCGGGGCGGGTGAACAAGGGGTTTGTGCAAGAAGTGAAGTGACTATGAAAAGGAAGTGTTCGCTATGGTTCCGAATGTCATGGATGCTCCACAACTGGATGCCTCTCTGACTACACTTGAGCCGTAGGAGATTTTTTGAGACTGTGGCAGCTCTGCTTGGGCGTGAAATGGTGCGAACCTACTAGTTAAGGTTCATGGGATTTTCTGAGTTCATACATGTTTCTATGGAAAGCAATAGCTGTCCGGGAAAGGGGAAAAATGTTCGGGTTTGCTGAGATAATTGTTGTCAAAAACTGATGGTCCCGAAAAGCTTGATAGTCGCACTGCAAAAAGTCAGCGATCAATTTCGTTGGTTTTGTCTCACCAACGAAATGGAACCTTCATGTTTTTTTTGTTTCTATCAAGTTCGTGCCTATGCACCTGATCCACCCTGAATTTTTTATTTTAGGTTCGAAGCGAACGGTTTCGTTACGTCGACTGAAGCTTTGTTGTCTTGTTTAGTATGAAAGACATGCGTGGATTGCACTTACATTTCGTGATTTGCATGTTTTATTGAATTGATCTTCATATCTTGCTGTTGATGTTGCTATATTTCCTTGTACTCCTGTATAGAATACAAATTTGAAACTTGTGATCTCGCATGAGAATTTATCGCTGGCAAAATTGAGGAAGATAAACAGTTCCTCTATCATATGTTTGTGGCCTGAAGACGTTTCACTGTTCTCATATTGTACGAAATTCTGTGAAATCATTATGAATTGGTCTTGAACCTGCTTCGTAATCGTTCAGTGTTAGGGTCTATGTGAAAAATGGAGTTCGAGCAGCTTCATTTGAAAACCGTGGAACTGCTAGCAGCCAAGGCTGCCGCCTATGGTTTACCAGCTGAATCTGATGACTATCCCGATAAGGGTGAGCATGAATTGTTTTATTTTTCATTTTTCTAGTCTTTTGAAGTTGGAAGATTGCAGAAGAAACGACGTGCGTAACTGGCGACTCAGTGCTAGCGAGTGCACTTTGTTCCACAGTGCGGGAGGCTCGTAACATGGAGTTACCGCTGGTTGAGAAGCAAGAAGCTCCGGAGGTTGTGGCCCTCCGAGCAAACATGCAACGATTACGACTTCTCAAGGAACGAATGAGTGTTTGCACTAAGGTAGTAACAGCAGTATCTAATTGAAGGTTCTCCATATTCAGTAGTGTGTTCGAAATAACTCGAAGAGAATCACGCACGCTTCTCTCTTGTCCCCTTTGTTTTTTCCTATTCTTTCTTTTCATTATTTCGTATCTCTCGGTACGTGGCTTTTTCTTTCGTCTTCATCTTTTACCATTATTGCGGTTGTGTACCACAGGTGTGGGTGAAGGGGTAAGGTGATAATAGAAAGCAGCAGAGGAGTTATTTCCTTCACATCAGGGAAGCTGATGGTCATGTGACCTACTGTGTTCAGTTAGGGCAATTCATTCGAGTTTAAAGAGCTTTTTATATTCACCGTTTTTGAGGGAATATTGGTGGCCTCTCAAAGAACTCTCCCATTTGCTCCCCTTTTTATATTTAGTATTTGTTTCAGGAAGGCGGCAAGTTCTCATCGCAGGCTTCTATTTGAGAGAACGACAATAAATCAAAAAAGGGCACGGTTCTGTTTCCAGACTATGGCAGAGCTGCGTACGTCGTATGCGAGCGTAACGGCTCGTACATCCAGCCTTCACGACGCTTGTGATCGAGCATTGGCATATCAAACAGCACTTGCATGCAGAGAGCTGAGCAAATTCCGAACGAACTTGCATTTTTTCAAGCAAGCCGATATCATCATGAAGGTAAGCGAGGTAAACTCGTCAAGTATCATCATCATAGTTTTTTTTCTAGAAACTAAACAATACGACAAAAATTTCTGTAACTGGACAAATGTTCACTGGTATCCTCGCCACGATCGATGAATGCCTGACCTTTCTTCGTCAGCATCCAGAGTACAAGGAGTCTGCTGCTTACATCGTAAAATACGAGCAATGCCTCAGTAGGTTCGTCTGAGTTAGTGTTGCAATTTTGAACAATTGTATTTGTTTCTCGTCAGAGCGAAGCCTGTAAATGCATTTTTACGCCCATGTTCTTTTGTCTCTTATGGATTATCAGTTAAGTCCTTTTTTCACTAGGGCGATGACATGGATCCGTGTCGGAGTGATGGCAGATATCGAGGCTTCTGTCAACGATGTCAGAGATCGACAGTCTCAATTACAGGTCCTACTCATTAGTTCTTGACAACTTTCAGCCTCCAGAATTTTCTCACTGAGTTTGCGTAATATTCTAAAAGCGCAATATTTCACACGAATAGGATTACTTCTCAATCTTTACGCGCTCCCTGTTGTTTATGACCAGCATTGAAGCAATTATTGACGGCAAAACGATGGATCACTATGAGGCGCATTTCTATGGCATATCGCGAAGTTATACGAGTAGACTACGCTAAATTGGGCCGAGGAGGAGCTGATGACGATACTTTTGCTCTACTCTACGGTGTGTTCGCAACTCGAGCTAATTCTGTGAAGTGAGTTTTTTTTTTTATTTGGCTGATAGTTGATAGATGGTAATTGCAAAAGCCCGCAACGCTTTCCATCAGCACCTTGTACAAATTTGTTTCAGGGCTGCACTCTCGGTTGCCGAGCAAAGATTTGCACAGGTTCCGGAAGCTGCAAGCCAATGCTAGCTGAGTGCAAGCAGGCTTATTCATATAGACAGCAACTTTTGACGCCGATTATTCAAGCCTACCTAGCTCATATGTCTTCGAAGTATGGTTTAAATTCATTTTTGATATCACATCCATAATTCTTTAGTCAATCTCGCAAGCTTCTGAAGTAATGTCAGTTGTTTTTGCTTCAAGGTTTCATTGTTTAGCACTTACGCAGACTCTTCTGTGCCTTGACACGGAATAGCATTACCTTTCATTTGGGTCTTTGCGATGATGAGTTTCGTCTTTATCGGCAGTTCTTCTCAACGGGCCAGGTGTCAGGCGGTCCACCGTCTCGTTTCGGTCGACGCAGGTACGTCTTACGACGCCTAACTGTTTTCACCTCGTGCTATCATACCTCGTTTCAGCCCAACTCCTTCAGTGGCGTCAGCCCGCACGCAACATTCTGATACCCCTCATCCATTTGAGGAATTTATAGAGGCAATTTGCCGGTTGTTGTACGATATGTTGCGCCCGATCGTGATTCACAATCCACATTTGGAGACCTTAGCAGAGTTGTGTTCTATTCTTAAGGTAGGCACCGGACAATGATTCGTCTTTCAAAAGTCATTCGTTGTCATCACTGCATGCTTTTGTTCAGGTCGAAATGATCGAGGAAAGGTGCTCCGTGCTTCCACCGATTGTGGCTGAAGAATGCACCTCATTTGATCCACGTGCTGGTTTTGTGCATGTTATTGGCGAATTAGTGGGAGATGTGTCGTATAACTTCGTATATAGGTGGTGTAAATACTTCTTCGAATGTCATTTTTTGCCTCTTCTGTGGTCGACTATCTTATTAGTATACTTTACAAATTACTATCATAGGACTGATCGCCATAGTCAAACGCTTTTGCTAGTTTTTTGGCTGCTTGAAACATCCATTGTAATGAAACGTCTACAGACTATTTGAACTACTCTGTTAAAATAAATCTGTGACCCTTGTCTGCGCCCTCGCATGACTAGTAGTGGTTTGGAAATTAACGAACTTTGCATGTTTAAACTTTTCTAGAGAAAAAGGATTCGCCTGTCCCCACTTGCCTTCTCTCCTGACTACATATCATCGTATCCCACCCTTTGCACCGTTCAATTTGGTGTTCACGTATGTGTATCTGGCATCACGACAGGACTATATGGAGAAAAGCTTCAAGTGGTCGCTTAAGCCGTAATCATAATAAGTAGCTATCTGAAATAGGGCTCGTGTTAGAAAAGGGGAAACTAAATGCAAATGTTTGTAATATCTAGTGGCAAGCTTCTCGGAAGTTGCGTAGATAGTGCACAGTTGAACAAGTCGTTTGCAGAGCTGTCCTGTATGGTCAAACTGATATTGCCGGCTACAAGCCAGCGGCGGGAGATTGGCAATATCAGAGAGTTTAGAAGATGATGAAGAGTATTGAGATGGCCAAAAAGAAGAGACGATTGAAATGGCGAAAGCAGGAGGCGGATGCTGGAGGTAAAGTCCATTTCTAGACGCACTGTTCGGAAAGCTGACTTTATCCGCGTTTATCATAAATTACTTGTGTGATTCTTTAGGCAACATGCGCAAGAACTCGTCCTCGGCTAGACCAAGTCCTGCACCAATTTCCGCTGTTGATCTGCACTGTCTCTGGTATCCAACTGTCCGTCGGACTGTCATGTGCCTTGCAAAGTTGTACAGATGTCTCGACGTATGTTTTATATCAGTTCTGCAGTTCGACACTCCCTAATAGTGACACTTTCTTCAACTAATATTTATAAAACATGGTTTGCTAGTCAAGCTGAATGTATTTATAGTTTCAGGTGGCTGTTTTTCAATCACTTGCTCGTGATTTGTTGACAATGTGCACCGAGTCCCTGGAGGCGGCAGCTCTTCACATTGCTGCGGCACCATCCAAAAAGGTAAACATTTCTTGTACAACTTTGGTCATCTTGTCCCCTGTATTGTGAGGCCAAACACGCATCGCTTGAAGACTTCATGAAAAGAAAGTACGCTTTTTCGAAATGCCTAGTAATCTCAACGAAGCTTCCAAGTGAACATTTCTCATTGAGAACACTGTCTGCTGATAAATATCTAGGTTAAGACATGGGTGGAAATCTTAGGAGCTACGCTAGTTAGGCTTTTGTGAGTTACGGTTGGAAAAGAAGCAGGCTATAGCTTTTACTACAGCTTTCTGACCTTGGCAGTGAGTGGAAATTCTACAGCATTTCCACTTTCATTGAAGCTTTGCTATACCTGTTTTCCTGGATCAGATCAATATCGGATATTTTCACTCATAATGTTAGCTGACCGTGAGCTTCCTTTCGTCTAACTATCCGACAAGAATTTCCGTGAATCAGAATCAGAATTTAACTGACTGAGTGCCGTGAAGCTTCGATTGATTGTTGTATTTGATTTTGATGTAGCTCTCACATAGATAGGCTTAAGTAACATCACTGACGTTAATATTACCGTTTACCTCCTACTGTAGACATACAGATATGTATTTTGCTTGAACTCAATTGGTCATGACCGGTAAATGGTATTCGTAGTGCAGCTGACCTTTTTCTCAAAGAGGTATCTTCTTACAGACTGGTCATACAAAGAGTGAGACGAGAGTTGTTCCTGGTCAAGCATTTACTCATTCTGAGAGAACAAACTGCTCCCTATAGGCAGGCTGCGCACAGGTATGCTTCGCACAACACTGCAGTGAGCTGTTATCCTCGCATTCTCTCTCTCGAGAGTGACATTTCCCAGAAGGGTTCCCGCTTATTTCAGAGCTGATGCCACGTTGCCTACCCTCGATTGTTCAATTAGATTTTGCGCGAATGAAGAGCTCGTTCTTCGATGACAAAAGCCGATGGTTCGAATTGAGTTCCAACAACGCCTTTCTTGAATTGCTTTTCTCGGTTAGTTTCGCGGAATGCTCTTTCACATATCAGTAAGTTCACAAAGGTTTACTTCTGGGGTGATTTCAGTTTAAAGAGTATGCAAATATTCAGCCAGCACCAGTTCATAACGTACTTTTAAAAGGAAATCACCCCGTGAGTTTTGCTTGTGGGAACTTGTGCTAACATTTCTTCGAAACCGTGTGACATTTTGCTTCGCCTTTCTCGCCAGCTTTAACCTGCTCTTGCATGTATGGTATTTATTG